GTATCACGTGTTCGTCGTCAGACTAAATTAAAAGTGGGGGCTGGGAATGCGGGCTCTGACCTGCTGACCTTTCATCACCGAATGACCCACTGCCACGGCAAGAATCATCAGGCGTCGTCTACAGGATTTGCTGCAGTTGCAGGCAAAGCAACTATGTCGGATAAACTGGCAGGCTTCTCAAGACGCGAATTGCCGAACACGCGGTAGCAAAGCGGCGTAATAATATCACTTGTGAAGTCGCGGCTCATTCGGCGAGACCCGACCACACATTAAAATTTGATGAGGCCGAAATTATCGCAAGAGGTGAAAATCGGGTGAGCCGATAATTACTTAAGTCATGGTTCACGGGCCCCCAATACATCAACAAGTGCAACGATTTGCCCGATCCATATTTGGTACTGACACTCATGTTGGCCAATGCAAGTCGCCGCTTGGAGAGTGGAAATGCCACCACCTCATTCTATGCCAGTACCGGAGGGCCAGATGACCGGGCAATCAGCAGGCCCAAGTCCACCACGCCTAATGAAACGTCGGCAGGTCAGAGCCCGCATGCCGTTCAACAGAACACCAACACTCACTAAGGCAAATACGGTTAATCTTGGTCGTATGTTTGCAGTAATTACTGTATCCTATAAATACTGCACACTCCTGTCCATGTGCCGCACTATCTGCTATTGCTGCCTGACTATGTCTCTGATGGCGAATTCGCGACGCATATCAAAACGTCAGGCGAATAAAAGCATTATCTCAGTGATCGAGTCATTTTCTTCTGAAATGCCTGCAGGGACTCGCATGTTTGCTTGTATTGGCAGCCTTGACTTACTACAGTATCAAGCTTGCGATCGAAATGACCGCATAACCGCAGGATACCATTTTTTCTCACTATTTGGACGACCGGTCACGTCCAGGGTAATTAAGTATGGGCATGTGACTTTTAGGTGAGTCTTGCTGTATATGATGGCCTGAGATATAAACATTCCAATTTTTCAATGTCGTGGTATTATTTCTGCTGCAATTATATGTACTTCTGCTCCAAGCAAGTATTATGGACGCTAATATTTGATGCAGGGTGTCCTTATGTTAACCATGGAGGCGTCGTTTAACCACATGCACACCGCTACCGGGTGGGGGTTGAGGTTTTTTACGGCTTAGGCACTTTTCGCTTGCGTGAACAC